GTTTTCAGGCAGTATTATTGCCTGCTTCTTGTTTACATCACCTGAAAGTGAGAACAGGCGTTCGCATGGCACTATTGTAGTCGGCGTTGCAAGATATTTACGTGCCAGATGCATTAAAGAGTCATATGTCCCTTCATCTTCAACCACCATTCCAGAGGATGTTGTCCATGCTGATGATGGGTTCTGCTTGATAAGAATCAAAAGCAGAGTGGACCGACGTAGCTTCATTTTCATCATCTGACTCAGATACTACCAGCAGAAGAAGGTTGATTTTCTTTTTTGGTGGTTCGGATTCTGTAGTTGCTGCAGAGCGTTGCTCTTTTAAGACTTCTGAAAGCATGCTCCACACCAAGTCCCTCTCAGAGTTTGCAAGGTACTTCAGATTCTTAAACCTTGGGCTGAATGCCGTGAGATTTCTAAAAATAGCTACATCGGTACTTTCTTGGCATTTGGTCCAATCTGTTGTGAAAGTGTTCTTAAAGCCAACATGTGCTGGGTCATCATCCAAGACTGCTATAACATGAAATATATGCAGAATGCAGGTGAAACAGAGCAGGAGACATACAATTATCTTCTCAAGGAGTAGAGTCACAAGTTTAATTGATGCTCATTTAAAAAAACAAAAACGACAAAAAAAACCCACCACATCAGCATGGAAGCATGTCCTCTGGAATGGTGGCTGAAGCATGAAGGGGCATACGAAAGTTTAGCATATCCAGCATGTAAATATCTTGCAATGGCGGCTACAAAAGTGCCATGCGAATGCCGGTTCTCACTTTCAGGTGACCTTGTAAATAAGAAGCAGGTAGCAGTATCTCCCATCAATGTAAACAAACTTGTTTGTCTTTGCGATTGGCAGACTAAGAAGTAGGACTGAGTGGACTTGGAGGCGCTAAAGTTTTACATTGGTTACATAACTGCGCTCAAAAACAAAAACTGCAGATTTTCCCTTTCACAATAGAGATTGCACTTTAGTACTTGTATGAGGTGAATTGAAAAATATTACTTATTTTTACAGTAATCAAAAAATTTTGTAATCAAAAAATACTAAGTGAGCACTGTGCACTGTATTCTGTGTTGTAATTAAAATCAATATTGAAAGTGTAGAAATGTATTAAATATTTTTGGATTTTTTCAAGTGGTATTCTATTGTTATCAGTGTGATTAATTTTTTTGAGTTAATCGTGTGAGTTAACTCAATTAATTGACAGCCCTAAAATAAAGCCAATATACACAAGTTCACTCGGCATTTCTAGGACTGTTCGTATTTCTAGAGCACCCATCACACCAAGCTGAACTCCGAGAAATGCCTGGACCTCAGCCTGAGGAGAACACTACAGCCCCGCTAAGTTTTCATATATCTTGTGTCTCAAGATTGTTATACAGCAATAATTGTTACTCCAGCCAAAAAAACACCACAAACACACACCATACAAACCAATCAATCAATGGGAAAAAAAAACAAACACACCCACCCACTTTACCCAGGACTTTCTGCAGCTTGCAAGTCTTCACCAGGAAGACAGCAGTTTTTAGTTTACAGGTACACATGCCTGTAAACCTCCATGCATTTTAACAGACTTCTTTTCTCTGACTTTAAGCACACAAGAGTGGCCTCATTTTCAGTGACGGTTAGCACCTGTAGCCAAAGTGCATGATTTCCACCAGGGTAAGTTCAGATCTCCGGTCCTTAGTGCAAGCCAAAGCTTACGTTATGAACTGCCTTAATCTTGTCTACCGGTTCTAGGCACCTTTGCTAGGGAAGATTCTTGGGCTTAAAAGAAGAGCAGGAATTGGCTGCTCTATAGACACTGTTTGCTGCTCACATGTGAGAGTCGAATGGCGATTCGGAATATCCAAACAGCTCCCAACCTACCTGCCTCCTTCTCTCGCACCAAGTCTTGGCAAGTCATCGTCACTGTCGTATCGCCTTGGATTGTCAAAGAAGTATGCTCTGGAGCTATAACTATGACTGTTTATCATGCCAGCTGGTGTCTGTTGATAGAGGGAAGGGGGAAGTTGAAAAAAAACAAACAAGCACCCAATTGTTTCTAGCGATTATGTAGTGGAAAAAGAGCTATTTCGCTAGAGTAAATCAGACAAGTTTTATGTGCCAAGAGCAACTTGAAAAAGATCTTAACCCTAGAGCAATTAGTTCATATCCTACCAAGTTCTGAGTTAGCTTCTGAGCCCGGAAGAACAGCACCACAAAACTGGTTGGCACAAGCTCCCAGAGGAAGAGGACTACTCCAAACACCACATATTCTTCACCACTGACTTCTTCTGCATGCATCTGCAAACACAGGGGTTATGTTTAAACCTCCAGGGTTTTGTTCTTAACACAGCACTTTTGGGGGGAAAACAAAACAAAAAAACCACAGAGATTTACCCCAGAGTGATGGGATTCCAAGAAAGAGACTAGGATGCAGTGCATGGAAGCGCTTCTGCATTTCAAATCTGGAAAGATTTCGGATTAGCATTGCGCACGGCAGTTCCCAGACTGGCTCAGATCAGTGGTCCAGCTAGGGCAGTATCCTGCCACTGAGTGGCCAGTACCAGCTGCTACAGATTTCAGCCGAGAGCTTCCATGCAAAGCCTACTCCGTTTTCTGGGGGGGGGTTTTGGGCTAGTTCCTTAGTGTAGAAAGTGGACCCCGCACCAATAAGTGCAAGTGTTCCATGTCAAGTCAGACATCTTTTAGAATGTTTCTAGATTATAGGGTGGTACATGGGAGGCTCTCACACCCATGTATACAGTGATGGGGTAACTAGTATCTCATCAGCACCATTGCCTCTAGGGCAGAGGGTATGACGACAGACAGATGTGCTCTATACATCTCCACCGTGGTTTCAGACAACCCTGGCTGGTCACAGATGCTCAGGATCTAGATGGACCTACGGACCGGTCTATATTGCAGCACAGTATATCGTGCCATTACACCAGCAATACAGGTGTGCACTTATTAAGAGGGTGCAGTTTGTGGTCCAATTAAGATCTCACTGATGTTTAGTCTTGTGCACTTGGTCAGTATTTAGATACTTGGCAAGCAAATCCCATTCGCTGCATCTTCCTGTTATGGCTAGTAAGATGTTAGGGGCAGTTACGTGGAGTAGGAAGGTACGGTAGTTGCCACCAGAGATCTAACATTTAGAAGCACTTGTGACAAGTAACCCCCCAAATTAAAGGAGCCGCCTAAGTAGCGATGGGGTGAGTCATATTTCCCCAAATACGGCAGCTCTTTTAATGTATTAGCATCAGGTGCGAGTTACCTGGGCTGCCTTTGAGTCTTCAGGGTCAAGTTCCTCCATAGACATGTCTAGTTGTAGATAGCGGATGTGTCCTATTAGCATTACATTCCTATTAGAACTGACTGTTTAGTGAGTTGCAGGAACTGGAATAGGAGAGCTTTTTAGAACACTGCTATAGCAGCTTTAGTGAGATCCCACACACCCAGAACATTGATTTTTCTCCTCAGTAGCCATGTTCTGGATTTGAGACACCCCCCCACCACCCTCCAACGCCCACCCGTTAATATTATTAGTTACCTTATCCGAAAGGTTGTCCCAGCCATAATTAAATGGACTAGGAACATTCTCTGGAGATATGGCCACTGCTACCAGATTATAGCAAGCCCTTGAAGAGTACAGAAGAACAACTACTGAACCGACAAGAATGGCCTGGCAGACAGATGTGCCCTAAGAACAGGGGAGGAAGCGAGATACGTTAAAAATCAAATAGGCTGTTACACAAATCTTCCCATAAAATTGTAATTTTATGCATAGCAAGTCGTGCATGCATGCATGATCGGACCCAGAACATCGACACAACTATGCCCTCACTAAAATATTTAAAGCTAGCATAAAGAACCTCATTCTGAGCTGGCGGTGAGTTGACTGCAATCATCCAGTGTCACATGGCTGTTTCTTGAGGAAGAGAAGTGGAACCTTGCCAACCAAGTAATAGAACCACAGGGAGGATTATTCCAGTAGTGGGTCCCAGTTGCATAGCAGTTATTTTTGCAAGCAGACAATTATACAGACTACCTGGCTGGACAGCTATAGCTTAGTTATAAGCTAAATACAGGTTGGGTTTGGTCTTCGTTTATGGTGCCATGAACTTGAGGCGTGAAGCCCAGCGATTAGTTAACAGCAATCTGTGTGAAAGCCCCAGTATTACATTGGTTGGGGAGTACAGTACACGTTGCAGAGAGGGATGGAGTTTTGATATAGCAACAGCCCTTTGTGAAGTTGTTCTTAGAGTAAGAGAAGCCTTGGTATACTACTGATGAGGAGCAATTCCCACAGCAAGGAGCTGTGGGGTGGCAAGAGGAGAGAGAGCATATGAATGTCAGTGGAGGACAAATTCTACTTCCAGAAGCAGCAACTTCTCAGATTTCAGAACACGCTCGCAGGGCAAAGGAAACCAATCCTGTGCAGAGGAAGTCAGTACATCTCTGAAGGCTATTTAAATTCAGGTTCATGCAACTGTGACTCCTGCCTGATCGTGCTGCAGAGCCGAAACCAGCAGCACTGAGCCCTCATGGTCAGATATTGCAACTTGCTGAAACGCCTGTGTCCATTTCCCCCCCCCCCAGACAAAAGCGACTCGCCAAACGTGTCGTTGAGACCCAGAATGTGCAGCCAGAAGCTAGAGTTTTAGTTCCACCTTTTCCTTGTTTGCAGCACAAGGCCATTTTTCGAGGACTGGAGAAACTTCTGGCAGTTTAACTGGCCCCAAATAAACTTGGGCTCTTTAGCGCCTGCCCGCTTGACAGTTCACTTATCTCAGGAAGTGACACATGGGCAGTTTTTGGGGGAGAAAATGGGAAGCCATCAGGAACTACATATGCTACTGAAGATAAACTATAGCAGGCTACACCATCCAGTCTATGTAGTGCCTTCAATGTGCTGAGCCCATTAGACAAATATAGGGCAAGGTCCCTGAGTCATGGACTCTGCAGGAGGTGGTGGTGGTGGTGGGGGGGGTCAGATCCCCCCCTTCTCCTATGCAAGTTCAGACCAGGCAGCAGAAACGCCTAAGACAGAGGAGACAGGCTGGCATTTTACTGGTGCAGTAGTTTAAAGCCTGTTAGGTCACTGTCTGCCACAAAGCAGACTATGTGCAGGAAAGCTCAAGTGGTCGCGGTCCATAATTCCAAGGAGAGGGAAGCGTCTCCTACCGGCCCATAATGTAGACATGGATCTAGCAAAGCGACTCAGATGTAAGAGTCATTGCCTTGGGCAGAGTAGCTTTGTTGAGCTACAGAAGCCCAGGCTCCCAATTTGGCCACACACAGGAGCTGCCAATTCCTGATCACTAGTATTCAGGCCCAGCAACATCCTCATCCCTTCTTTGAAGAGGGGGTGAATGCTGCCCTGCCTTGTTTGAGTCAGTCTCCATGACAGGGGCTTTGCAGATCCTGGACAGAGCATGGTCACCATGGGCAAAACGGAGATAGTCCACTAGCCCCACCTGCAGCAGAGGCAATGCTGCCTTTCATCAGGCTATCAGCATGGGATTGGAATTCTGGCTCCAATAGTAACAAGAGTCCAGAGCTCCTGCAATGGAGAGAGACCGAGCCTGGCCCAGAACAGATTCTAGATCTACAGAAGAGCCCAGTACTTGGGGTAGGTGCTTCTGCATGTTGCACCCTTCCCAGTTCCTGACATAGTCCCTCAAGTGGTGGAAGTCATGGCCAGGTGAGGAAAGGAGAGCGTCTCCCTGATCCTGAAGGGCCAGTGAAGCTAACAGGCTGACTATGCGCAGTGTTCCCAGCTGATGGAATGTGGGTGCGTCTATACATCCTTTGGTCTACTCTGGAAAAGGCAGGGAGAGAGGGAACCCCACACCAGGTGCAGTTAGCCCATAAGGATATGCTACATGTCATGGAGTAGACTACTGCTTCTAACACGAGTGACGTAGGAGAAAGCCAGCTTACAACAGACCACCAGAGTTTTATTACTAGACTGGGTTGCTAGTGGATCTGGTTTATGGGTGTCACATTAGCAGAGGACTGCAGTTACTATCAAATGCCTCGACATTAAGCCACGTTGGTGTCAGACAGCAACACACCATTAGTGCCAGAGCTAGGCTCTGTACTGAAACAAGTGATTTAAGAGATTCAATGCAAGAAAAGGTCCAGTATCTGTGAGTTATAACAATCTTCTCTTGCAAGCACAAACACAAACTGAAGAACCCAAACTGAAAAGAGTTTTACTAGCTCCAGGCTAGGACCATCCTTTTGTTCTGTGTTTGCAGAGCATCTAGCATGATGGGGTCATGGTCTTGGACTTGCACCCCCATGGACTGAAGTAAATCATTTCAGTGCAGTTTAGAGAGCATTTACCTACCTTTGACTCGAGGTAGACGTTTGCCGATGACATTTTTGCAAGTTTGCACATACAACAAGCTAATGAAATGGCACAAAGAATGAAGAGACTGTCATTGACTAGTGCCCGAACAAATACTGTCCATCTCAGCCGACTCTCTGGGACATCTCCATGGATAAGCATTGCACAAGTTAAATTCACAACGAGAAAGAGAAGGCTGATAAATATGGAGCCCAGATACAACAGGATCCTGGAAAAGGAAAGAGAAACAGTCTGAAGAAGTCTCTACCACCACATCTCCCTTGTTCTCTATCAGTTCATTTCACTCCCAGCATTGCTCTTCATTTGCTATAACTCAGGAGACAAGCAAGTGTGAAAGGTCAATCATGTAGACCAGGAATTAGGGAACCCTTTTAGAAGGCCAGTTTAAGTTGTTTAGCTGGCATAATGTTGGTATTGAAATCACTCAGTTGGTAGAAGCTTGCAAGGAATCATGAGTTACAAGATTCCTGTCTATCTTAAATTAAAGTTGCAAGTTTTAAAAAACAAAAACAAAAAAACCACACACAACTTAACTATTGTTCTAACTTAGATTAAATGTAAGTTGAGAGTCAGCCCAACAACCACCAGCCTTGGTGAAAATAAGCGGCTGCAAATACAGTACAATCTACACACTTCCCATTGAGAGTGTCTCCTGACACAGGTCCGTTAGTTCTTGGTCTAACGGACACGGTCTGAAGTCCCTTCTTCCATACAGAAGGATGTACTATTAGAATGACTTAACACACAGGCTTGAGCAACAGGAGAGCCTGGCGTGTTGTGATGCCCATGGCATGGGTTCATAAGCTAGGGATCACAAAGGCCTGCAGAAGTAAGACTCCTTCACTGGCTTATGGCTAGATAGGATGGGGCGAATCCCAGAAGTGTTCTACGATGGTTCTCAGCCTCATCATGTGTGACCCTAATGTGCTAGAGCACCAATAGCCTCCCATGAATTACAGAAACACGAGCTGTCTAATGCTCAGCGGCAATAGCAGTGCTCATTCTTGACCCTTAGGCTGTGTCTACACAGCAGACAAGACACTGGCAGCTAGCCCATGGGGCTGTTTCATTGCTGTGTAGATGTTGGGGCTCCAACTGGAGCCCAAGCTCTAGGAGTCTGTGAGGGGGGAGGGTCCCAGAGCTTGGGCTCCATCCTGAGCCTGGAAGTCCACACAGCAATGAAGCAAGCTCGCAGGGTTCAGGTTGTGAGGCTGAACTGGCTGGCATTGGCTAGACTCTCCCCCCCACCGCTGTGTAGATGTACCCTTAGCACCTACGACAGCCTCCCTGCAAGTAAGAGAGTACGCGAGTGTGAGGCAAACCAGGGGCTATAGCATCTCCCTTATGGGTACAATCGAGTTCTTCACCTCCAGACCCATGTAGGCACCCAAATCTGATGATCAGGTTGCCCAGTGACTAGCCCACAACTTCTTCAGGGCTTTGCTTTCCCCACTGTGCTCTGAGGTAACTGAATTAATCTTTGTTAAACAACATCTGGGTAAGAGACAAAAAACAAACAAAGCTATTGCTATGAAGTGCGAATGTAGCATTTGGTAGATTTCAGATATGCTGTACTGTTAATACCCCCAATGAGGACATGTTTGGGGTAGGCAAGAAGAGGAGTCACTTACTTGTACTTATTGAATTCTGCTGCACATTTGACTTTGAATATAACCTACAAAAAAAAAAAAAAAAAAAGAAAGTAGTAGGAAAGTTAATTCTAACATGCTTACAGTACATGTTATAG